GCGGCGGTCTACTTCCACGGAAGCCTGTCTGTCTACCTGGGGGACCTGAATGGAATCATCCTCAGTTTGCAGATGAAAAAGCAAAAATGCTGAGAGGTCAGATGACCTCCCCAAGTTCATTTATCCAGTGAGCAGTACACTCAAGGCCAGAAAACAGTCGTCTTAGGTCAGCGACTTCACTATTCCACATTCGGGTGTTGAAATTTTATGGTTGGGGAACATTTCAGCGATCACGTAGTCCAACTCTCCATCCAGGATTCTCCATCTTATCTTAAAATTTCTCTCTAGATAATATTATGCACATTTCCCAATAAGGATCCACTAGTATGTGATGTGACATAACACAAGGAAAATATACGGTGCGAGCACAGTAATTTCTTAAACATAGGGCAGTCGTGATGGGAAAAACTATACTTGTCTTAACTTTTAATTTCTACTTAGGATAAATGTCATAATGGTCGCAAATTAAAAGCAGTAATCGCATTTTTACTGCTATTATTCTAAAGGATTGGCCTGGACGCCCTTTTGTTAGCCTAATAATTTTCTTGATATGCCGATTTTAAAAACAACAGGGAAAGAGTTTATCTTGGAAATGCTGATGAAGCAACCTCAGCCCGCAATCAAAGGCGTAATGGAAAAATCCATTTTAATTATTTGTGAGGTGTGTTATTTTTCAGTTGACCAGTAAATCTATCAGCAAAATGAAAAAATGTCCTCTCACCTGTTGTTTATCACTGTCCCTCTAAAGTGCTCCCTCAAGCTGTTGTTTCTAGAGACGCTGGTACTCTTGGTAGTCCTGCACACTTGCCCCTCAGGTCCGGCAGCACAAAGGAAGGGGCACGGAGCAGGGGGGATGTATTTGCAGGCTGACCGGTGGGGAGCGGGATCCCCGTGAGCCAGCGCACAAGCTCCGTCCCTCCTCTCTGCTGGCTGGTGGCCCTGTGACAGTGGCTGGGGTTTTGCTGAGCTACGGGTGGTATGAGATTGACAGCAGTCAGGGCTCTGTCTAACCTCTGGTTCATCAGCACAGTCCACTGAGCCTCGAGGAAAAAAGGCACAGGCTTTTAGGTCAGGAGTCACCCAGCTGCCAAAACCTATTGGCTTGGAGAAAGGAGAAGAAGGGAAATGGAGTCACCAGTGGTACAACTGACCCTCTTTGTCAGAGAGATTATGATGCTGCAGAGAATGTCGTCAAACCAGATCTTCCAAGCAGAGTGAGAAACACAAATCGATCCACCTCCCTCACCATACTCCTAAGGGCTGACTTGTCCCAGCGCTGAAGGAAATCCCTTAGGGCCCGGTGATACTTTTCCCCTATATATGCTGGTTGAATCTTCTTTTTTTTCATTCTGTAATACAACTGATAAAAACAAGGAGTGGTTATAGTGAGATTTCAGTGTTCTTAAAGACTAAAGACCAGCGGAGGATCACAAACTTGCTTCCTGGGTTCGGAAACCATTTGGCTTTTCTGAGTGACCTCCACATCCTCTTGCAGGTTGCTGAACGGCTGATGACAATTGCCTACGAAAGTGGAGTGAATCTCTTTGATACTGCCGAAGTCTATGCTGCTGGAAAGTAAGTCAGTGCCCGTCTGTGTCCCTCAAGTGGCATTTGTGGTACCAAGAGTGCCCGGACCATTGCTGACATGCTGGTGAGAAGGGTCTGCCCTTCCCACACACTCTGGTGGCACTGCTTTTCGCCCTTTCTCTATCCCCATCCCCAGAGTTGGGGGTATTTATTGCCCGCCTCTGGCCCCCTCTGCCCACCCAAACCTTCCTGCCCCTGGTCCCCGTATGAGGAATGGACTGAAAACATCGCCACAGACTACCTGAGGGGCCCAGGTAGCTGGGACCAGAGTGGTGGCAGGGGAGATCAAGAAGTGTTAGTTGACTACATGAGTGAGGAAGTAAATGAGCAGATTCCAGCGTGGTGGTTCCAAAGCTCGCCCTGTTCTTTCATAACCACATCTCATAGTTCCTTACTCCCCCGAGGGAAACTGCAGGGACCAGGGACTGCTTTTCCCATTGGCAGGCCCATCCTTCCATCTAGCATGACAAGGAGAACAGAGATTAAAAGAGGGGTCCTCAGAAATGCCAAGAAATGTAGTCTGTTTTATAGGAGGGCAGAGGACAGAGAGGACTGTAGGAGGGCCTTGCTGCTTTTCTAGAGAAGTCACACCAGCTCCAACCTTCTCATGGACCCCAGAGCGGGTGTGGGGCTCTGAGACAGGACTCACGGCTTGGTCAGACCGTGTGGGGAACGTGCCCTTGGGGATGCCTCAAGGTCCATGCCTCCCATGCGCCAGCACAACACGCACATTGTGGAACAAAACCAGAGCACCTTGGCCACCTGCTGTCCACACGGACGGACTGACGGAGCCCCCAGAACAGAAAGAAACTAAGTAGCTGGCAGGTGCTTGAGCAGCAATGCAATTTTCTAACAGGACTGTGGCGCCTAATCACCTGCAGACCTAACTCCTCACCGCCCCCTCCCGGGTGAGAATCACAGTCAAACTCCAGTTTGTGGTGGCCTGGTCTCAGTGCATTTTCCTCACATGGGTCTCCTCCTTCTCAAGGGCACGGCTATGTTTAAGGACCAGCGGGGAGGTTCAGAGCCCATGTGTCTGATGTTTTCTGTTGAGTCCAAGGAGAGGAAATAAAATTGATAAGGCCTCGCTCCTTCCCACATCCCAGCCTTTCTCGGTTCTCTTCTCCTGTTGCATCCTGCTCAGGTGGTCTGTATTCCTACTGTGAAGGATAGTCAGTCCTGGCTACTTACTGACTGTCAGCGTGCACCTGAGCTAGGTTCCTGCCATGAAACACAAGGTTGCAGAAGGCGACCTCAGAGCCAGAGGGGGCCGGGCAGGGGAGGCTGGGGTGACATCCCCTGAGGGTCAGTCTGGGGCATGCTCCGTAGCTGCCCTGCAGCATGGTTTCTTGCCAGGCTGGACACTCCAACAAAGAGAGAACTTTCAGCCAAGACAGACAATGGTCAGTGACCATTCTGCATCCATAAGACTCTAATGCACAAAGTGCTAATTCCACTGATGTCCCCACTCAGAAAGCCTCTGAGAGCCCAGTGGCTTCTCACAGCATCAGTCGGCCTGGGAGGGACCTACAAGAAAGTTTTAGTCTCCTTACCTTGGGTCCCAGCTCAGGTAGGTGGAGGGGAGAAGACAGTGGAGAATGTCTTCCGTATACCTCTCCACCACCCACCCTTAGGGGCAGGAAGAACACTTCTCTACATCTCCTTGCAGCTTGCTGCTATGGCAACACTTGTCCCTAGGACTCAGGACCTTGATGTGGGCCACTGCATCTGCAGCCCTAGCCTTTGGGATGGCTAAACCCCCACCTGGTTTGTTTTTTTGTGTTTTTTTCATCCTGCAAGATCACCTGGGAGTCAGTATGTTCTGTCTAAACAGTGCAAGTGCACATTGTCCTCCCTAGTCACAATCAAAGACCATGGTAACTAGGAGGGAAACCTTGACTCCCATTGGATTCTGCCAAGTAGGATATTTATATATGGGATGAGTGGCTCAAAAACATCAAACTGCCAAATGACTCTGTTGTTTCTTAATATCAGGACCATAGGTGGTCTCCTGCCAGCGTGTCAGGATTTGGCAGGTGCTTCTGGAATGCTCCAGGAGCCGGATTCTGCAGGCACAAGCAGAAACAGCGGAAACTGTGCTACTAGCCAAGAGCGGCTTCTATTTTCGGGACATGTAGGCACTGAGAGTTCAAACAAGGAATGGCTCTCGTGGTTTTGGATTGACTCTTGCGTTTCTGGGACACTGTATCCTAAGCCATTTTCTGTTTCCTTTCCAGGGCTGAAGTGATTCTGGGGAGCATCATCAAGAAGAAAGGCTGGAGGTAATGCATTCACGAGAATCATGTACTTGCCTTTAAAAAGACTATTATTATTTTGTACCAGAGAAGGGAAAATAAAATTGCATGACATCTGAACAAAAGGCTCTCAAAAAAGAAGTCAATTCTTGGTAAAGAGATGATTTATAGTGGTTTGAAAACAAATACCAACAAGTTCATTACTTGTGCTTCAAAAAGTATTGATGAGTCATTGATCGCAATGAATTACCACGGGGTTTAGCAGAGAAGGAGGGGATGGTCATGAGATAGTCATGCATAAAAGAAAGTGGCATTTTCATGGTTCCTCACTGCCATTTGTGGTAATTTGGCAAAGGAAGGCAGCTGATAGGAAGCTGAATATCTATAAACACGTATTTATGTTCACTGTTCATTTTACTGACAACTTTGGATGCAAAGAAATGAGGAAGAAAAAGGTCCTTGTGATCAATGCCCCCAAGTTCTCTTATCTGAACGCAGTTAGCCAGCACCTCTACCGTGTGCAGGGAGCCCTATTAATCTGGGCATTCAGGAAGTGCTTCATCTGCTGTCCTTGAGGGGGTCACATCCCATTCCATCGCGGGCTGTAGCCAACACCAGTGGTAAAGAGGAATGCCTCACCTGTGGGGGGTGGGGAGGCAATCCCCCTCCACTTCACTGAGGATGTCAACCACGACAGCCCCTCCTTCCCCAGCATGAGTAGAGAATCAGGCCAAGACCACAGGACAAGTTTGGGATCCTCTTCTGCTCTGGTAGAAGATCGGCTGTTGGCCAGATAAACAAGAGCTCTGTAGTTTTAGTGGAAATGGAAACTTTTTAGAAATTTATGGAGAGATGAACAAATAAAGTTTGGTGACCCACTTTCTCCTTCTCCCTGCTCCTCCTCCCCTACTCCAGGGATTATAAGGTTATTCAGAGAAAACTATATTCAACCTTAAATATGGAAAAATATTCACATCCCTGCCCAGTCCTCCACCTTGCGGGAGTTCTGTTCCCACTCAGAACCATCCATCACCGCCCAAATAGGGACTGCACCACTCCTTAGGGCTCCTGGAATCAAGTGCTGCAAACTACGTGGCTTCAGACAATAGAAGTTATTCTCTCACAGTTCTGGAGGCCGGAAGTACAAAATCAAGGTTTGGGCCAAGCCGTGCTCTTTCTGAAACTGAGTAGAATCCTTCCTTGCCTCTTCCTAGGTTTTGGCTTTTGCTGGCAATCTTGGGCATTCCTCAGCCAGGGCTGCACTCAGCCTTTGCCTCTGCCATCAGGTGACCTTCTCCCCTCGTGTGTGTCTATGTGTCTTCTTCAAAGACACTGGTCAGGGGCGCCTGTGTGGCTCAGTCGGTTAAGCGGCTGCCTTCGGCTCACGTCATGATCCTGGGGTCCTGGGATTGAGCCCCACGTCCAGCTCCCTGCTCAGCAGAGAGCCTGCTTCTCCCTCTCCCTCTGCCTGCCACTCTGCCTACTTGTGCTCTCTCTCTCTGTCAAATAAATAAATAAAATCTTCGGAAAAATAAAAAAGGACACTGGTCATATTGGATTAAGGACTCACCCTACTCTAGTATGACCTCATCTTAATTTAATTAATTACATCTGTAATGTCCCCATTTCCAAATAAGCTCCCATTCTGAGGTACCGGGGGTTAGGACTTGACCATGTCTTTTTAGGGGACATAGTTGAGCCCATAACAGAGCCCCTGGAGATGAGCCCACTCACAGCCCTGTGGACTGCTCAACAAGGTGCGGGCTGACAGAGGACACCTGAGGAAGGAGGGGAGCACCATCAGTGCTCTTTCCCCTTAGCACCCAGACAACCTCTAACCATCACTCTCCATGGTTTGCAGAGCCTGTTACACACCTACAAGAAACCAGATTAACATGCGTCTTCTACAAACTGGCTTTCCATCTTGCAGATAAAAACCCAAGCTGTCACCATGCTCCGGAATATTGATATCAGTACATGGCTGCCCCTACAAGACTGATGAAAAGATAGACCATAGCACAGAGTCTCTACAAGAAATTTCAACTAGCATATTTAGCTTCTAGTCCCAGCACGACCCCTTGCCTGCTGTGCTTTCCAGGGCAGGTTACTTCACTTGTCTGAGTCTCCATTTCCCCATCTGTAAAATGGACGGCCTAACTGTTCATGAAGTGTCGTGCTGATAAAGGGAGATGAGGTGTGCAAAAGTATTTTGAAAGCTGTGCTCTATCAGTGTGGAATGCTCATATTATCAGTCTCCAGCCAATCGGAAGAGTTGCTGGAGATGCCTCCACGACGGTCAGTGGTAATTGGCCAGGTTGCTGGCTACTCTTGCCCTTTGAACATACATGTTAGTGTGCACACCGACGGAGCTCAGACATTTTCCGGAAAGCCTGACTTTGGGGAGAAAAAAAAAAAAGTCTATGATAGTATTTGGAGAGGATGTGCAGCTCTGGTGGGCCCAGCCGCTCTGAATAATCGAGAGGACTGCATTCATTTTTTATGATATTCTATCTGGCGTCTGGTTGAAGCTGTGAAAAGGTTTACTCGAGGAGACCTGGCTCCCCTGTGGCAGATTGCTGTTACACTGGGTATCGTGAGGTTGATGGATTAACCTGGAAAGTGCATCAGCCCTTCCGCAGTGTGTAATCTCCAGACGCACATATCTGTAGGGCTTCCATTACAGTGATTCCAATCACTGTTCAGGGAATTAACTTCAGTGGGATGGGGTTGCTGGCCTTTTCTACAGATTTTTCTTGTTGCAGCTAGGCTGTCAGAATTGTCACCCTTATTCCTCATTTGGTTATCATTAATCTTGTGAGGCTCTTGTATCTCGGGCCCCAAGGCATCGGCTCTACAGCTGATGGAATTATAAATGTCTTATTTCAAATACTCCCAAAGTTTGGTCTTAACCTTTGAATCTCAGATGATTTTTTTCCCCCTAGGCCAGTTCAATTGAATTATGTACCTGGAGAAACTAAATTATACTGAGATCTGCCTCCTGATTGTAAATTATGTGACCGTAATTCTCAAGACGCGTTTCCTATTCCACCATCATGGTGATACCATTGCCATTTCCTGCCCTTGGGTGTGGTTTGGAGAAGGCAGTAAGTTTGCTGACAAGATTTCCACCTTTTATTCTCTTAGGAGTAAAGTGGTTAAAACCTTGAGTTACAAATTTTAAGACTGTTTTCCTAAAATAATGTTTCCATTTAATAAAACACTCAAAGAAAATGTATTCCTATTGATTGACTACTCTATCATTCATATCTCCATGCAGTCAGTTACTGCCTGCTGGAAAGCATAATAACTCAGAGCCGCTAGGGCCCGTGGTCCTTGGCAGAGGGTGGACTGAGCCCCAGGACAGCTCACACTCAATCAACGTTATGGCAGATGCTAAATAAGCGTTAGTGAGTGCTACTAAAGCAGTTCATCCTTTAAATCCACTCACTTACCCTCTCGCTTACCATTCCTGCCCCTCCGTGCCTACTGCTCATGCTCTTTGCCAACCCCCATCAGCTGCTCACTGCCACAGCCTCCTCCACCTGACCCTCCAGGTAAAGGTCAATCCCCTTCAACCTCTTTATCTAGGATCTGACTTCACGTCCCCACTCACCAGCTTCCCTTTGTCCCAATATTTCAGTGACATGAATTAACAAATTTATCTCTTTACCAGTTCTTTTTTTTTAATGGGAGGTACAATAAATTCTTTCTGGTGCTATAATAATATGACTACAAAAACCAACAATTTATTTAATATTTCTCTCTGTTTGTCTAACATACAGGAGGTCCAGCTTGGTCATAACAACCAAACTCTACTGGGGTGGAAAGTAAGTTAAATACCTTTTCTTTTCCCTACTTGACAGGAAACAACTAGTACTTCATACTTTTATCCTTTTGGGCAACCATTTTACATCTAATGTACTAAAATTAATTGATTTGGGGAAAAAGATTATTTTTTTCTGCCTTGAAGGAAATAGCAATTAGCCTAGGATTCAATTTTAGCAAGATGCCCCAAAGAAATGTAGTGTAAAGCATGTGGTCACTTGTTAGTAAGTAATTCATGGAGATTTTCAAATACCAGCCTCATGCTTAGAACCATTTCCAAAATAGAGTTCAAATTTTAGGAAAAGAAAACAAGCACATAGCATCACAGAAGAAAAGCTATTCGAATCTGCCAAAACTCAGAGACTTCCATGGAATGCAAAGATAAAAATATCTTGTCTGGCCCCATGTGTGAGTCTCTGATCATTTCTGCAGAAGGCGTTGAAAATGTTGATCAAAAGGACCACCTTTTGGAGAATAACAGGAAGCTACCATATCACTCACTGGCAGGCAAATGAAAGAGAAGTCCTCTGTCTGTTGTGGGATGCAAACAAAACTTCACAGGATGAATTGGCCTCTGATAAGCCTACTGGTGTTTGAACTGGTACTTACATGATTCAGCAGAACTTAGAAGTCTGGCTAGCTATTCCACACACCTTTTCATGGAAATCACAAATATTTCCATGGAATCTTAACAAAAACAAAAACAAAACCTTATTTACCTCCCTATAATTGAGAGGGAACAGTTAAAAACAAAATTGGAGACAGAGGACAGTTCCTTAGGAGTCTTCAAATCAAAATGTATATGTATACAAATAGCCCCCACACATACACACTCATATTTTATTCCTATTTTTGAGCCTGTTTATGATGACTATGAAGACAGAAAGATGGAATTCAGATTTTTATTCCTACTATCGCCTATATAAAAATCAAGCAACATGGTGCTTGTGAGAAATGTAGATTTACTTTGTCTGTGCTCTGATTCATGGTGTTGTTGCTCAGTGCGTTGGTGATGGTACTTAAAGCCTTGCCTATACTTTAGAAATAAACAGGGAAGAAGACAATCCTCAAGAACCATTATGTAGCGGAGTACTACATACAGTATTATCTGATGTTTTTATAAAAGATTCAAAATCACCAAAGGCAAATGGTAAACTACTATGTTTTAAAAAGAGGTTGCCACAGATAGTGATGTTGAAGAAACATTTCATGAAGACTTTAAAACTTGAGTACCTCTGAAACAAATAATACATTATATGTTAAAAAAAAAAAGAAGAAGAAGAAGATAGCAGGAGGGAAAGAATGAAGGGGGAGAAATCGGAGCGGGAGACGAACCATGAGAGACTATGGACTCTGAGAAACAAACTGAGGGTTCTAGAGGGGAGGGGGTGGGGGAGGGGTTAGCCTGGTGATGGGTATTAAGGAGGGCATGTATTGAATGGAGCACTGGGTGTTATATGCAAACAATGAATCATGGAACACTACATCAAAAACTAATGATGTAATGCATGGTGATTAACATAACATAATAAAAAAACAAAACAAAACTTGAGGACCATATTTCTTTCTAACTGTCCAGTGCTTGAGGATGGTTTGGAAAGACAAAAGTCCTAGTTAAATGTTTGTCTTCTTAGGATACTAATGTAAGAAAGACTTATATCACATTTTAACAGAAAGTAATTGTTAAATTTCTTTTGCAAGTCAAAAGGCACTTCCAAATTTGCTTCCTCTGTCAAAAAGTGAGTGTTATCAACAGCTCACAAACTTATGTCAAGGCTTTTTTGGGGGTGGGGGGCAGTCTGGGATTAGTTAAAATCAAGGTGGGATGGTTGAGCCATATGTCACATTTATATGGACGGGGTGTGTGTGGCTGAGTTGTTATTAATATTGTGTGAGGAGAATCATGGTTAATTAATCACCTGGGGTCTCCAAAGAAAAGGGGCTCGGTGTGTTGCTCACCAGCCTTCTCTCCTCAACCTGTGGCATGGAATTTGCCAAGAACAGGGTATAAAATTAGCAATTCAATCTAGAATGATTATTCCTCTGTACTTTTGAAACAGCAATTAAAAAAAAAAAAAGCACACCCCCACTCAAAGTCATTTGCTTCTTTTTCTTGTTAGAGCTGAAACGGAAAGAGGTTTGTCAAGAAAACATATTATTGAAGGTAGGTACAGCACTTCCATTTTATCTTCATTTGTGGGCTACTGATTCAAGAAACGTATCAACCAAATAGGTTCAAAACCCACTGGGAGGGGGAAAATTCTCTATAAAGAGGATCACAATCAACCACAGTCTCTCTGGGTTTTAATGTAGGAGTGTGGTGATATGGAGAAGACAATTGGGAACACAAAAGAAAAAGGACAAATTCTTTAAAACTCTTCTCATTTACAGCTGTACTAGCATTAATAAAACACTTCCCTAAGACATTTTTAAAAAGCTTTATTGAGATATAATTTACATACCATAAAAGTTTACCCGTTTAAAGTACACAATTCATTGGTTCTGAGTATAATAACAGAGTTGTACGATCATCACCATAAATTCAATTTTAAAACATTTTCATCACTCCAGAAAGAAACCTAGTACCCACTAAGAGTCACTTCCCACCTTCTCCCTACCCTCTTCCACAGCCCCAAGCAACCACTAATCTACTTTTGTCTCTATAAATTGGGCAACTCTGGATATTTCATATGAATGAGATCGTACAGTATGTAATACTTTGTGACTGGCTTTTTTTGCGTAGCATAATGTTCATGTTGTAACATGTATCAGTATCATTCCTTTTTACTGCCAAATAAAATTCCATTGTGTGGATAGACCACATCTTGTTTATTCATTCATCAGTTGGTGTACCTTTGGGTTGTTTTCATTTTTTGACTTATAAATAATAGTGCTATGAATATCTGTGTACAAGTTTTGTGTGGACGTATGCTAAGACTACCATAGTTTTATTTAAAATTTTAATTTTTTTAATTCCAATACAATTAACATACAGTATTATATTAATTTCAGATGTACAGTATAGTGATTCAGCACTTCCATACATTGCTCAGTGCTCATCACAATAAGTGTACTTTTAATTCCCTTCACCTGGGGCACCTGGGTGGCTCAGTCGTTAAGCATCTGCCTTCGGCTCAGGTCATGATCCGAGGGTCCTGGGATCAAGCCCCGCATCGGGCTCCCTGCTCAGCAGGAAGCCTGCTTCTCCCTCTCCCACTCCCCCTGCTTGTGTTCCCTCTCTCGCTGTGTCTCTCTCTCTGTCAAATAAATAAATAAAATCTTAAAAAAAAAAAAAAAATCCCCTTCACCTGTTTCACCCATCCCCCCACCCACCTCTCTTCTGGTAGTCACCAGTTTGTTCTGTGTATTTAAGAGTCTGTTTTTTGGTTTGTCTCTTTTTTCTTTGTTCCTTTGTTTTGTTTCTTAAATTCCCCATATGAGTAAAATCATATGGTATTTGTCCTTCTCTGACTTATTTCACTTAGCATTATACTTTCTAGATCCATCCATGTTGTTGCAAATGGTGAGATTTCATTCTTTATAGCTGAGTAGTATTCCATTTGATATATATACGTACGTACGTACGTGTGTGTGTGTGTGTGTGTGTGTGTGTATCTAACCTCTTCTTAATCCATTCATCTATGAAGGAACATTCGGGTTGCTTCCATATGGTGGCCATTGTAAATAATGCTGTAATACACATAGAGGTGCATTTTATCTTTTTGAATTAGCATTTCTGTATTCTTTGGATGAATACCCAGGCGTGGAATTACTAGATCATATGGTAATTCTATTTTTAATTTTTTGAGGAACCTCCATACTGTTTTCCACAGTGGCTGCACCAGTTTGTATTCCCACCAACAGTGCGAAAGGGTTCCTTTCTGTCCACATCCACACTAACACTTGTTCGTTGTGTTTTTTATTTTTACCATTCTCATAGGTGTGAGGTGATATCTCATTGTGGTTTTAGTTTGCATTTCCTTGATGATGAGTGATGTTGAGCATCTTTTCATGTGTCTGTTGGCCATCTGCATATATTCTTTGGAAAAATGTCCATGTCTTCTGCCCATTTTTTAATTGGATTATTTATCTTTTTTGGTGCCGAGTTGTATAAGCTCTTTATATATTTTGAATATTAACTCTTTATTGGATATATCATTTGCAAATATCTTCTCCCATTTAATAGTTTGTCTTTTTGTTTTGGTGATGGTTTTTCACTGTGCAAAAGCTTTTTATTTTGGTGTAGTCCTAATAGTTTATTTTTGCTTTTGTTTCCTTTGCCAAAGGTAACATATCTAGAAAAATGTTTCTGTGGCTGATGTCAAAGAGATTACTGCTTATGTTTTCTTCTAAGAATTTTGGAGTTTCAGGTCTCACATTTAGGTCTTTAATCCATTTTGAGTTTATTTTTGTGTATGGGGTAAGAAAGCCCAATTCCGTTCCTTCGCATGTAGCTGTCCAGTTTTCCCAAAACTATTTGTTGAAGAGACTGTCTTTTTTTTCCATTGCATATTCCTGCCCTCTTTGTCATAGATTAATTGACCATATAATTGTGGGTATATTTCTGGGCTATTTTGTTCCATCAATCTATGTGTCTATTTCTGTGTCGGTACCATACTGTTTTGATTACTACAGCTTTGTAGTGTATCTTGAAATCTGGGATTGGGATACCTCCAGCTTTGTCCTTTTTCAAGATTGTTTTGGCTATTTAAGGATATTTTGTTCCATACAAGTTTTAGGATTATTTGTTCTAGTTCTGTGAAAAATGCCATTGTAGGGATTGCATTGAATCTGTTGATTGTTTGGGTAGTATGGACGTTTTAACAAAATTTTTCTCCCAGTCAGTGAGCATGGAATATCTTTACATTTGTTTGTGTCATCTTCACTTTCTTTCATCAATGTTTTATGGTTTTCAGAGTACAGGTCTTTCACCTCCTTAGTTAAATTGACTCCTAGATACTTTATTATTTTTAGTGTATTTGTAAATGGGATTGTTTTCTTAATTTCTCTTTCTGCTACTTCATCATCGTATAGAAATGCAGCTGATTTCTGTATATTGATTTTGTATCTTGAAACTTTATTGAATTCATTTTTCAACTCTAGTAGTTTTTTGGTGGAGTATTTAGGGTTTTCTACATATGTCATCTGCAAATAGTGACAGTTTTACTTCTTCCTTACCAATTCAGATGCTTTTTATTCCCTTTTCTTGTCTGAGTGCTGTAGCTGGGATTTCCAGTATTGTGTTGAATAAAAGTGATAAGAATGAACATCCTTGTCTTGTCCCTGAGCTTAGGAGAAAAACTCTCAGTTTTTCACCATTGAATAGGATGTTAGTTCTGGGTTTTTCATATATGGCCTTTATTATGTTGGGGGTATATTCCCTCTAAACCTATTTTGTTGAGAGTTTTTATCATGAATGGATGTTGTATTTTGTCCAGTGCTTTTTCTTCATCTACTGAAATGATTATATGGTTTTTATCCTTTCTCTTGTTGATATGATATATCATGTTGATTGATTTGCAAATATTGAACCACCTTTGCATCCCAGGAATCAATCCTGCTTGATTGTAGTAAATGTTTTTTTTTTAATGTATTGTTGGATTCAGTTTGCTAATATTTTCTTGAGGATTTTTGCATCTGTGTTCATCAGAGATATTGGTCTGTAGTTCTCTTTTTCAGTGGTGTCTTTTTCTGGTTTTGGTATCAGGGTAATGCTGGCCTCATAGAATGAATTTGGAAGTTTTCCTTACTCTTCTGTTTTTTGAAAGAGTTTGAAAAGAATAGGTAGTAATTCTTCTTTAAATGTTTGGTAGAATTCACCTATGAAACCATCTGGTCTTGGACTTTTGTTTTTGGGAGTTTGTTGGTTACTTATTCAATTTCATTGCTAGTAATCAGTATGTTCAAATTGTCTATTTCCTCCTGATTCACTTTTGTGAGGTTATATGTTTCTAGGAATTTATCCATTTCATCTAGGTTGTCCATTTTTTTTGGCACATAATTTTTCAAGACTATTATAGTTTTTAAAGAGTATTATATGCATTTTAAAAAATTGTAGAAAATTACCACTCAGTAACTGATTCATGGGGCTATTGCTTTTGTGATGGTACTCAAAACTTTGTAGAGCCTAGAAATAAACAGGAAATAGTACAGTCTTCTAGAACCATTATGTAGTAGAGTACTACTCTACTTCATTGGGAGGATTATGAGAATTATGAGGAATTTTTATGTATTTCTTATTTGTTTATATATAACAAAAATGTTGCACCTGCACCTATTGCAATAAAGGAAAAATGTTAAATGGGACTAAACAGATCCGAGATTTTTATAACTTTAGATTCATGATTAATCATTAAGACAGATGATTTTTCTTCTTTTTAAAACTAGTTTCATTTATGAAATACCAAAGTCAATAAAAACATGAAATGTACTCTAATCTCACCACTTTAAAAATAAAAATAAACAAATCCTCCCTTTGCTTATCTTCTCTCATTTCACAGTGTGACAATATGGGGCATGTCCTTCCCAACTAGTCCCCACAGTTAAATTGTTCTATCATCTATCTATCTATCTATCTATCTATCTATCTATCTATCTATCCACATTTACTTGTAAGTACAAAAACATAAGTATGAAACCAGGGGAATCAAACTGTACATATTAACCTAAAATCTACTTTTTTTGCAATTAAAATAATTTTAGACATACACATGATTTGTAGGTTATTTCTTGGTCTTAGTATTATAAAGAATTATACAAATGGCCATCCTTATGTAAATGTGATAGATACTGGAGCAGCATTGTTAGGTCAAAGAATAATGCATGTTTTTTTAAATTATTTTCTAAAAAGGAATATACCAATCTGATGGATGAGCTGGTTTTATTTGTTTAGTTATACATTTATTTAGTAATGCGTTTTAGCTACTTTTTATAATTTTGTGCTTCTTTTTCTGGGAACCAGCTCTTCATGTTCTTAAGCTATTTTTCTTTTGAGTTGTTTGTCTTGATCTTATTAATTTTTCAGGAGCTCTTTGTATATTAATAATGTTCACTCTTTGTCAGTTACACGTGTTGCAAAAATTTTCTTCCAGGCTGTCATTTCATTGTGAAGTTTTTTTCCTCCCCATGAACCTAATCTGAAAGATAATGTTGAGAGGTGCCTGG